AGCTGAGATGCTATTTCTGATCTGACTTCAGAGCCCCTTCCTTTTCTACATTCTTGAGGTCCTTCTCCCTGCTAGGCTCAGCATTGTTATCTGCTGGACCCTAGGCTTCGCTTGCTCTGGAGAGGCTGGCATTACAAAGGAAAACAGTTGGCATTTGTTGTAACTGCAAGCTACAAACACAACAGAAGTTTGGAGTAAATTACAGTCCTGATTTGCAGAAGATTTACTAATCAGAGTTTGAGTCATAGACACTCCATTGTTCTGTTATTCACAGGGTCTCTCCTCACTATACTTTCCATCCTCCCACATATTCCTTCTTATCTAAATTGTTCATGGATGGAGCACCTGGGTGGCTCAGTCGGTTAAGTGTCCAGCTCTCGATTTCGGCTCGGGTCATGATCTCAGGGTTGTGAGATCCAGCTCCATGTCAAGCTCCATGCTGGGTGTGCAGCCTGCTTAAAATTCTCTCTCTCCCCCTGCCCCTCCCCACCCCCCGCTTGTGCCTGTGTGCTCTCTCTCTCTCCGATAAATAAGTAAATAATACCTCGTGGATTCCTGAGTTCAGGGCTGACTCAGACCAATAAACCCTGTGGAAAAGTGTGATTCTGCACATAACTCTTTGTCAATAAAGAGCCTTCTTTGTGGGGCAGTTTTAAAGGCTTGTTATCCAGATGAATGTTCCAGAAGGAGTAAACCGCATCTTGGTAGAATCTCATCAGTTTCATCATTCACTCAAAAATATTTGAGTTTCTATGATATGCCATGCCCTGTCCAAGGTGCTGGGGAGAGAGGGGCGAACCCCACCAACAAAGACCACCCAAGCAGAACTGTCTTGAGTAGAGATCCATGATAAATGAGTAAACAAAGAGAGGTGTGAAGCTCTGTTATTTCTCACCCCACATTTGACTGTTCCGCTCAGTCTTGAGATCAGATTGTCTTCATGGTTTTTTTTCTCTTGGGTGCCTCCTGCTTCTGGGGGCTCCAGAGGGCCATGCTTATATTTTCCCCTTGGCTGGAATGGCCTCTTCTGCCTCCCCCAGACTCCTATTGATCCTTCTGATCTCAGTTGCCGGGTTATGCCTTGTGCCAGCATAACTAAACACCCACACAGTACAATGTCCTGCTTCTGTGGACATGTCTGTCCCCGCCCCGCTCCTGGACTCTGCATACTTTAATGAGAGCATCTGTGTCTGATTTATCTTTGTATCTCCAGGGCCTAGCATGCAGCCTTGTGCACGGATGCTCAGTGTGTTTGCTCCAAGAAATGTGGAATCCCACTGCAGCTGGGGGTGGGGGGTGGCATTACAGAAATTGCTTTAAGGGGAGGGATGCGGAGTCTGGGAGGGGATGCTTTGCTCCAGCAGTTCTGTGGACAGTTCTAGGACAAGTCCAGCATGAGCCCTGCCATGACTGGAGGACATGGGCTAGGATATAGGCAGTGATGATTGAAGTGAGGTGGTATGGAACATTCTGAGGAGTGTTTATAGGAAAGTTGGAAATGAGAAGTTCTGAGGCTCTAGGGCGGAACTGGAAGGAATAGTGAAGATGCAGGCTTTTGTAGCTGTTGTCCAGCTGGGGTCCAGAGGGGCTGTGGCTTGACCTGGTTGTGACAGCTACTTAATTACAGATCAGGTCGGGGAACGAGCCCACCCAGTTCACAAGGCTTTCCACTGTACTGGGACTCTGGTGACAGATAGGGAAGCAAAGGCACAGAGAGGTGAACTAAGCTGCCCCAGATCACACTGCTTGTAAGTGGGGGAGCCGAAATTTGGATGTGTGATGATGACAGACAGCAGCGTGTGAGCACTGAGCTACCTGTCTCTTCTTGGGACTTTAAAACTCAAGCTCTTAATACGTTCTCAGTTCTCCCCTTTGTTAGCTGTAAGCCGCGATAGGAAAAGAATATCATTAACATGTTTTCTTTCTGTTGAAGTGTAGTTGTGTGTTTTCAGAAAAACACTGATGTTTTTCAAATATTAAAATAAAAGGCCCTGAATTACTTACTGTGTGCAAACACAAGAAGTATGTGGAGATATCGTGAAAAAGTTTTTGGGTTTTCGCTATCGTGAAATTTAAAATACTCCGGTTTCATTTCTGTTATACCCAACTTAAAAATAAATATTTCATCCTTCGTAATGAATGAGAATCTAGCCCTTTACTGTCATGAACCCTAACTTCATAGTCAATGAATATAATTATAACCTCCTTACCTGTATGGGTTTTACATCCCATTTCTCTAACATCTGTTGACACTTGGGCTGGAAAGTGGTTAGATCACTATTTTAGAAACGATTCTTTCTAGACACAGAAAAGTTAAATGACATTGAGTTTCAAAATGAGCTGCTAGAGGAACCAAAAATAAAAACTTTTCTACTACATACAAGACTCACTGAAATTCCTGCCATGGAGACTGTCTGCCATCAGTTGGTGGTCTCAAGTCCCAGTCCTGGAACCTCAGCCCTGTTGTAACACCAGAAATGTTTCTGTAGGAGGCGGGGGCAGCCAGGGAAAGGCAAAGGCAGGGCTGACAGGATTGTTTCTAGGTCATTCCCAACCTTGCTGTTACAGCACAGTTTTCCAGGTGGGAGATAATATGCTCATTAAAGTCTGAGTGTTCATTTACAAACAAAGCCAGAAACCCAAAATGGCTCTATTACATAGATAAATGAGCACACATAAATGGACTCAATTTTTGTTTTTCATGCTCTGTCATATTCTGTATTCAGGCAAAGGAATAGGCAAATAAGTAGCTGTTTAAAAATATACCAGTGTATTGTTCATTTACTTTAAAAGCCACTGATTGGAATTAATAATCAGCATTTCCATGTAGTACTATATTCATGGAAACACTGACATTACGGTGCGTGGAGATAAGAGAATGATGTTCTTTATCTCTTTGTGTAATCTAACTTTTATAATGCTTCTTAATTCACAAATGATGAAGAAAGCAAGCAACAAACGGGATACTTACTAAGGGCATTTAAATTCCTGGCACAAATGACAAATTCCTGTCTCTTGTCCATCTTCCACCCAGATTTGTTTTTATGGAATGACCTTTGGTACCAACTTATTTTACAATAAAATATTTCCTGAGTTTTTATTTTGAATTGAAATGGCCTTTTCTGTCAAGTGTGGTATTTATAAAGGTTTTTTTTTTTTTTTTTTTTTTTTTATGAAAAGCCTATGAATTTTGTGCAAATAACCCAGAAAGGCTCTTAGCTTAGTGATAACATTTGTATAGGACTTTTATGGCTTTATATGATACATTTACACTCAGTTTATTGGACTCTTACTTGTAAGTACTCCATGGAATTCACATTTTACTGATGAGAACAATGTAGAGGAAGGTGCCTTAGCATGGTTCTGGGTACCCAGCAGTATGTTTTGTTTTAAAAGGAAGTTAACAAAGAGAACCCAATAGGTTGTTTAACTTGTGTGAAGTAGCACAGCAAATATAGTGTGAGACCAAGAACTGAACTTCTTTTCTCAAAAATTCCATATGCTGTCATTATTTCACTGATATCTTTTCAGGCTTTTTAAAAAGGTCAAATTAAAAATATTCATTTTACTTAATTGAGGTAAAATTCACATAACGTGAAATTAATTACTTGAAAGCATACATTTCAGTGGCATTTAACACATCCAGAATGTTCTGTATCCATCACTCCTATCCAGTTCAAACATGTTTTCGTTATCCCAGAGGAGACCCCATATCCGTTAAGCAATAACCCCATTCTGCCCTCGGCCCAGCTGCTGGTAGTTACTGATTTGCTTCCCATCTCTCTAGCTTTACCTCTTCTAGATATTTCATGTAAATGGAATCATACAATATGTGACTATCCGAGTCTGTTCGGGCTGCTATAACAGAATATCATAGATTGGCTGGGTTATAAACAACAGAAATTTCTCATATTTCTGGAGGCTGGGAAGTCCAAGATCAAGGCTCAAGCAGATGTGGTGTCTGGTTCTTGGATGTCTGTATTCTCACTGTGTTCTCACATGGGAGCTCCCCGGGGTCTCTTTTACAAGGGCACTAATCACTTCCCAAAGTCTGTACCTCCTGACACCATCACACTAGGGGTTAGAATTTTAACATGTGAATTTTGGTGGGGACATAAACATTCAGTCCATTACAGTGATCTTTGTGTCTGGCTTCTTTAATAAAGCGTAATGTTTTTAAGATAAATCTATGTTGTAGGGTGTATCAATACTTTATGATTTTTCATGGGTGAATTTTATTCCGTTGTAGGGACAGACCATATTTGGTTTATCCATTGGTCAGTTGATGGACATTGAGTTTCCATGTCTTGTTGATTGCAAATAGTGCTGCCGTGAATGTTTGTGCTTGAGTATTTGTTTGAATACTTGTTTTCAGTTCTTTGGGGGTACAGTTGCATTTTTAGGTTATATGGTAATTCTATGTTTCAACTTTTGAGGCACCACTAAACTATTTTTCAAAGAGACTGAACCATTTTACATTCTTACCAGCAAGGTACAGTGTTCAGATTTCTCCAAATCATTGTCAACACTTGTTATTTGAGGTTTGTCTTTTTTACTCTGACCATCCTAGGGGACATGAAGTGGTATTTCCTTGTGGTTTTGATTTACATTTAACTGATAAAATATTCAGATTTTATTGGATAGAATTAATCAGAAAGTGAGGTTTGGTAAGACAAAACCAACATCAAAATGGTTGGCTTCATCTATCTTCAGGAGATTATGTGGGACTGGCATAAGCCTTCCCCTAGGGTGCATGATTCTGGGCTGAAAATAGAGAACATGTTGCTTTGGGAGTAGAATAATATATTGGATATTGGATAACAAGACCCCAAATATCCCTTGAACATTTTTTTTTTAAAATACTGCTTAAATTAATGAGGAAAAATAAATTCATCATAATTTATTTTTGTATCACCTGCCAAAAGATACTTCTTTGCATTGTAGAGCTTTCTTTATATAATTTTGTCATGTCCTAATGGTCTATTTGTTTACTTTTGCAGCGTGAGTGAAGACATCCGGGATGGCTCAGGGATCTGGGGATCAAAAAGCAGTGGGAATTGCTGACCCAGAGGAGAGTTCTCCAAATATGATAGTCTACCGCAAAGTAAGGCCTCTCGTGAAAAGCTTGGGATGTCTCTGTGTGTGTGCGCGTGTAGGGTTGAGTGATGGTTGACAGCTTGACAAATGTTTTCTGCCTAAACTGCCTTGACTGATAAATGAATATAGTTTTCTTCTCACATTCTCTGATTTTCCAATTCTAAAATTCAAGCAACTTAGGTTTGTCATACTTGAAACATATGATTTGGTATTCTTTAAAGATTTTATTTTTAAGTAAACTCTACACCCAATGTGGGACTTGAACTTATAACCTGGAGATCAAGAGTGGCATTCTCTACAGACTGAGCCAGCCAGGTGCCCCCGATTTGGTTTTCTTTAAATGCAAAGACTGCCTAAGCAATGCAGAGGAATATATTCACCTTTGAGGTAAAAGCCTTTGTGTAACATTTATCAGTTGATTGTTTTTGAGCCCATAGTACGTACAAGATCTGGTCTAGATGCTGTGTGGGAGATACAGAGGTATGCATGTATTAAATGTTTGCCATTGGTAGGAGACATAAGATGTATGCAAATAAATGTAATAATCTTAGTGTTAATTTCCAAAAGAGAAGTGCAGATAGAGTGTTATATGAAATCAGAGGAACAGGTGATCACTTCCAGGCTCAGAGGCCAGGTGTGTGCTGGCAGAGGAGTGGGCTCTGAACTCCGTTGTAAAGGATGGGTAAGACCACTTTATGTGGAAAGCAGAAAGGAAGAACAACATTCCAGGTAGGGAGATGCGTTCAGCAAAGGGAAGGAGCTGAGGAAAGTGAGCAGGAACCAGAATCAGTGAGCTTGGGGGCAGAGGTGACTTACATGGAGTAATGGAGGTAAGGTTTTGGGAAGAGTCTGGATGGAGCCAGATTCGAGAACGGTGAATCATAGGCAATTTAATCATGAAAAACTTTTGTGCTAGGAGTTGTAAAATTAATATCTCTTTGGGATTATGAGTCTTGCCCCAGTGTGCCAGATGCATTATTATGATAGCAGATGTGAGGCTCTGGAGGTAGGGTATTGGTATTTCTGTCTCTGTGGGAATGGTAAGGAGGACACTAATCTAGCAGGGAAAATACCCCTCAGAATTGAGTGAGACTGAGCAAAGGGATTAAAGAGCCTGAATTAAAAAATGACTTGGAAACTGAATGAATATAGAATTAAGAGGGGAACAGAAAAGAAGACTGTGCTTTGACCTTGGGTTATAGAAAGACATTGACGCTATTAATTCAAATAGGGATGTTTGGAAGAATGTCTTAAAGGAAGGAACTATGGCACAGAAGTTTTATTTGTGCACATGTTGAATCTGAGGGAATGACTGCTTCCTATTAACACATCTTTTTAAGGCTTGCATATGTGTGAAAATTTAACCTAACTGTGTTACATATTAATAAGGAAAATGAGTTAATGTTCATTCATTTCACTAAATATTTGAGTTGTCTGCTGGGTTCCGTGTATTCTGTAAGACTGTATGTTTGATCTTTGCTAATCACATGGGCAAGATTGAACTAGATATTTCTGGATGATCAATATGGTGAATTTTTCTCTTTCATTATAAAGATAGAACTCAAACTAATCTTGCTTTGAGTCTCAAATTCGTTAATCCTTTGCTTTGTAAGAGAAGGCTTAGATAACCCTTCTCTAACAGAGATGCCTATTAAGTTGTAGTAAAGAAAAAAGAGATTAACAGGGCTAACCAATTAGTGAAGTATACAGAATAGAAAGATGTTTATTCATCATTACCTTCTTAACCCACCCATGCTGGGAAACCCTATGCCAAGTTCATAGGAATATGAGCGTTGGAATCAGACCTAGGTTAAAATTATTGCAACCCTACTACTTCCTAGTGGTGTGACCTTGTGTTATTTAACTTCTGTGAGCTTCAGTTTCTTCATTTTTAAAAAGAAAACTAAAAGGTGGGAGGAAGGATACTACCTCGTAAGGTCATTATGAAGATTCATTTAGGTAAGTAAATGAGGCATTTCACATTTTACTTTGCATGGAGGTGGTCCATAATGAATGCTTTTCTTTTATCTTTAGGTCTTATAAAGACAGTGTCATTTAGAGAGGAACTAAATTATAAAATGTATACATGTTGATACTATTAATAAGTTGATTAAAGTATGTTTATACAGTGAATTGCTTTTTTTAAAAGATTTTATTTATTTATTTGACCGACAGAGATCACAAGTAGGCAGAGAGGCAGGCAGAGAGAGAGGAAGGGAAGCAGGCTCCCTGCTGAGCAGAGAGCCCGATGTGGGGCTTGATCCCAGGACCCTGGCATCATGACCTGAGCTGAAGGCAGAGGCTTTAGCCCACTGAGCCACCCAGGTGCCCCGTGAATTGCTTTTTTAAGACACAGGAGAACAGTATACTTTTTTAAATTTAAATTCAATAATTTTTATATTATTCAGGAGATAGTAAACCAATGGGTTGTTAAAGGTTGGTAGGAAAGGTAAAGGTCATGCAACCCAAACACCTTTCGGGTAATATAAATGTTTGGTATTATATTGAAAGGGAAACTTCCTTCACGTTTGTGGGAACTTGATTTTTAATTTTTAGATGGTAGGAGGGAACTCTTTTTTGGTTTAATTTAGATACAAAGTTGTCGATTGCTGTAGTTCTTCAGAGATATGACTAACCATTTGCTTTCTATATTGGAAATACATCTAGCTTACTTAGGACAAACGTGTGTGGTGTGGTGTGCATGTGTTCATGTTATTTGCTATGTTCATTAATTGCTATAAAAGAGATATTGCGTCTGTTTGATCTGTGAGAAAGAGGCATCGTTTAGTATGGGTCTAGGACCTGGAGTAATTTAAACGTAGTCAATTCCACTAAATCATGGTTCTGTTTCAACCGTGGGTTATTTACCTAGTTCTCTACTCAAAGCAGTGCTGTAGACCAGCCATTGGCTACAACCAATACAACCAATATTGCAGGACACTATCTTCAAGATATCAGTAAAGATTAAACCTTGAAATCAAGGCGAATCCAAAACAAATGTAGAAGTCCTCTTCTGTAATGGTTTTTTTCAAGGTTGTAAGCTCTAAAACCAAACTTTTTTAGAGGTCTACAACAGAAATTTGCATTAAAAATTGTGCAAATAGTGTTGTTCTTTTTGTTCTCATTCCCTTGTTTGTTGTTTCTTACTCATGTCAGATGTTTTTAGTATGAAGTGTTTGCTTGGACTGTGTTGTGTTGATTCAGACGCTGACATTTAAAAAGCTAAATCTAGAGAAAAGGAGCTTTCGGGTAAACTTCCGAGTAATAAGTGGGATGATTGTGTCCTTGAGTTTTTGTGACTTTTAAATGCCATTTAGGATGGTAACCTTCTGACATATGAGTAATGATGGGTGGGTTTCTTAAGCCTACACTCTCAGGATCTTCTTCATTTTCTTTTCATGTTTTCTGTGTCATTAACTGTGAGAAGTTGTACTTTCCCAAGGCATGATTTATTTATTGAGTTGAATAGACTTTTCTAATTTAGTTTTTCATCCTTCACATTCACATCTGGGGTTGGAGGTATGTATGAAAAATGTATTGGTCACATTAAAAATCTATTTAAGAGAAAAATTTAATTATTCATTAAGTCACCCAGACCCTGATAACCTTTTTTATATTCTTGGATCCAAAAGATCCTGGGTCATTGAATTGTCCAATGTAGGGATGATATTTGAACTTGGCTGAACATCAGATCATTTAGGTCTGTTTTATAAAAATATTGATCCTCAAAGGATCCCCAAATATAACCAAGATATATTTGTTTCATAGGACTGAACTGGGTCCTGGGAATCTGAGTCTTATTTTATTTTTTAATTTTTTAAAAAGATTTTATTTATTTATTTGAGAGAGAGAGAGAGAGAGAAAGAGAGAATGAATGAGCAGGGAGTGGGGCAGGGCAGAGAGAGAGGGAGAAGCAGACTCCCCACTGAACTTGACACTGGCCAATCCTAGGACCCTGAGAGCAGGACCTGAGCCAAAGTCAGACACTTAACAAACTCAGCCATTCAGGCACACCCTGGGAATCTGAGTTTTAAACACTTCTCAGAAGAATCTGAGTTTGAAACACACTTATTAATATATTTTACAATATCCAGGTAGAATATGCATGGCAAAGAAATGAGAAAGTTGATGTTTTGAAGTGGGGTTTTGATCTTATAATTATTTATAGATCTCTCAAATGTAGAAGAACCAGTCTCCTGTCACATAGACTTACAAGTGAAGGATTTACTTGTAACAACCTCATTTAGATGAGCAAACTGAAGGATGGAGAGAGTATGTAACTTGCATTAGGTTACTCAGCAGTTTCTCAGTGAAGCCATGATTGCGTCCAGGTAGCCTGACTACCCCTATTAGTGTCCTTTCCATCACCACGTTATCAACAGCAGATTACCACTGCCACATAGTTGGGGCTCAACAGACATGGGATGAATTAAATAAATGAAAATACTATGCAGCAGATCTTTGCTTTTCTCACCCCTATTCTCAGAGACTTGACTTGGGTGAACTTTGAACATTTGTAATGCTAAAGCTTCCTTCTGCTTGCTGGTACTCTTGTATCTTGGGTAAAAATTTTCTAAAATGTTTACTTTCTTTAATAAACTCAGAATTCTTTTGAGTACAAGTAGGTTGCATTCCGATTTTGTTTAGTTCTCTGAGTGGTGTTAATAATGTCTCTTGAGAAATTTCCAACTGGACTGGTAATTTGATTTTGTAGAACTCTGGGCAATTAGATGGTAGTTGGATGGAGAAAATTGTAGCTTAACTTGACCCAGGCTTGGGTCAGGAGGCAGTACAGTGTGATGGAATATGCCAGACAGACAGCAGAGAGCTCTGGATGTCTGGCCCCAGCCCCCACACTCACTGCTTTGGTACTCTGGATGGGCAACTTCATTTTCCTAGCTCTGCTTCTTGTTTTGACTTCCCCCTCTCTCCTTTCTTTTCCTCCTTCCTTCCCTACACAAAATACTTCTGACACAAAAAGAATATATTCAGTGTCCACATAAAGTA